TGAGGACTTATTTTGATGGGCAGGGCTGCATGCTGAGGTAAACAGTGTGAGCCTAGCAGTAAACAGAGTAGCCTCGTCGGGTAGCAGTGAGAGTCAAGTGCTAGCCTGAGCCTGAGCACCAGTTTCCCTCTATGCTGTTTCTGATTTATTCAGTAAAGCCAAGTTACGGACCAGATACATGACTTTGTCTGAGTTCTCCTGAGAAGGCCCCAACACTACAATATGATGAAATTCCACACATTCAAGCACCTGGCTTCAACACCGTGTCACCTTTTCAGGTGAGCTGGCATGCTTGTGGTACTACCTGAGTATCCTAATTTACAACAGCAAAGGTCTTGTCTGCCTGTCCGTTATTTTTTCTAAAACCAAAATGTTTCCACACCCAAGATTTTGTTACCAATGGGAGAGTGTAAAAATTTCTTTTTTAGTTGGCCACTAGTGATTGATGCTGCAGTGTTAAGCGCTTTAATGTGAACGCAAAGGCGCACATTTATTTGGCGGGCTGCACCAAGCTTACACCTCTTACTGCCACCTACAGCGTAGGAGCATACAGAGAAGAAACATGTGGATAATGCTGCAATCAATGTTTATGCATCACAGTTATGACACTGGATCATTTGCTATTTGGTCAATCCATCAATACAGAGCGTTGGATTGTTACATTCCTACCCACTACAGAGGTCTCCAAGTCCCCAAAACTCCAGTAAAGCTTTCAGTAAATCCAACGAAGCCAGCCAACATCCCTACCCAATACAGAGGTCTCCAAATCCCCAAAACTTAAGCAATGCTTTAAGTAAATCCAATGAACTGCTGAGGAAATTCAGGACTATGAGGAGGAAAATCAGCATAAATACCATTGTCATATCATCAGCATATTTTTGTCATTAAGTCCTGTTTTGCATTTTGATATAATGTAGACATACATGTCATACAACCACCTTGAGTTTCAGCTCTTCCTGCGCGCACTCCATAATTCTTCTGCAAAAAGGTTCTAGTGGCAGTAGAAAGGAAGATTTGCTTGTTCCAGGCATCCTTCCACATATAAACACATGAGTCGCAGAGGGCAGTGCAGTCAGCAGACTTCTGAATCAGGATTAAATTTGCGTTTCTTAACCTTCATCACTCTACAGCAGGAGAGGGCCAGGCAGGTGGGATTGTGGGTAATTGTGCAGGGATTGTGGGGAGCTGCAGTGTCTGAGCTATTCAGGACCGTGTAGCTTGAGGCGTCACTGAAAATAGCTTGACTCCCCCTCACAGTGTTTGAGAGTTTCTCTTGTGTGCGTGCGTGCATGTGTGTGTATCACTGATTGGGTCTGTCTGTGGAAGCAGAAAAAGAACGGCTATTTCTTTCCTGTCTTCTCTCAGTTTAGATAACACAACCTGCTACTGTTGCCATGGCAGCAGAGGTCAGTGGTCATGACCCACTTGGAATTAGCATGGGCAAAAGAAATCATGTATCTGAAAGCCCGGTGGGCGAATACCTTTTTCTTCCAAATTTACTGCAGTTTACTGCAGTTTCCCTAGAATACTAACTTCCCAAACTCAGGAACAAACTCCTGCTGCTCCTGATGTGTGGTCACTGATGGAACCTAATCTGCATGCCAACAAATCTCATAATTAAGAAATAAGTAGGGATTTGGCATCTGTAGCAGACAGCACTGAGCAGATGACATAGGAATGAAGTTTACAGCACATAAGTGCTCTATAGATAATGCATGGAATGTGTCAATATGTGCTTTTGATGCCATTCTGCAGCTTGAAGAGACTTGTGCCCTGTTCAAGCAGTGTTAGAAATGGGGAAACACTAATTTCCCAACTTTCTGAGTTGTTTTTACAAGTGGGCAAGTAAATGTGATGTATAAGCAACCATTTACTTTTTCAGCCGGGGAAAATCAGTAAACTTGGTGGTGGCCTGTGCCAGTAACAGAATCCTTTTATTAGGTAACCATGTAAAAAATAACAATGGTAAGTGCTTATCGCTAAAAACAAACTCAATGATAGCATGTGAGTTGAAGTTTAATCTTTGTGAAATAAAAGAAATTAAAAATAAAAAGCACAGATCAGTACAAGTTGTGGTTGTAATATCATGTCATTTGTCTTTTAGACATGAAACTATAATTAATCCAGTTAGAAAGAACAGAATTATGAATGTCACACAAATGTAACTGTCCAAGGCCATTTTGACTGTGGCTGCTTAGCCTAATGCCTTTTGATCGAGTCTATTGTGCGTGATGTTTAATTGTACAAGAGCTGAGTAAATGAGTAAAAGAGCTTTTGACATCACCATATAACCATTTGTACCATATAATACAATGTTCTGGACTTGCATTATTCTTGCATAATTTTTCTGTGTGGTGGGTGTATTTTTTTTAACAAGCACCTGAACAGAGTGAAGTAAACCATCTCGCATGCATAACCTTCCGATGAGCATATGAGTGCAGCATCGGCAGAACTGGCCTATCCATGCTCTCCATACAATAGTGTTCTTTTACAAAAATCATTGGGAGGTTGGACAAGCTTTACAGAACATCTGCAAAATTCCCATACAACCTAATGAAAGAGTGTACCGTGCATTGGAGTTTTGCCCGAGTGTCAGAGTACATTATTAACTTCAAATTATATTTATTTTGCATATGTATAAGAGGTGACACTTAGATATACCAGGTATAGATTTTGTGTCAGTCAAGCTAACATTAGTATGGTGTTAAATCCAATGTCATTTAAAACCTGCCTAGTTTTGTTTAGCTACGACAACACAGTCCAGCTCAACAATGCAGCATTTTAAACTCAAATACCCGTCTACATATCAAGTCTAAATTCCAACCTAAATTCAGTAGGTTGAATGGGTTTGAGAATGGGAGCTCTGTAAAGCTTATCTAACCTCACAATAGTTGCTACAAAAGAATGCATTTGTTTGCAGTGCAAGGATAGGTCAATTCTTGCCCCCATGAAGGTTACAGAATAATAGCCTAAAGCACATATTCACACTTCAGCTGACTGTATGTAAGGTTTGTGTGGATGGCACATGGTTGTGTATGTGCGTGTTTTTATGCAAGTAACTCCACTGGTCTGATCTGTCTCCTGGCGGCAGGGTGGTGGTGGGACATGCTGTGGCCCACGTGAGCTCCCTCCGGCCAGCCAAAGCAGGCACAGCGCTGTGGGTCGATGGAGCAAATCAACCAGAAATCAATGAGCGTGTGAACACACTGAACACAATCACCTTGAAGCCGGTTTCCTGGAACACAGACGAGGGCTTATGGCCTAGGCTTAGTGCAGCCCTGTGGACATAAGCCCATTCAAATGAGCCATGAAAAGATGCTGCACTTTCATTACTGGCCCATACAAAGTGACCCAACGACTGTACACACAGCACCGAGCAGTGCCCAAACATTAGCACTGATTGGCTGTTTGCACCAAGGCACAGACACATTACAATTAAAGCAGAATTAGTTACCAACACCCCCCAGCAGGGGGCCATGATTACAGTGTCAACCAGACACCACCACCACTATCATTTACACACTAATCGACCATCTGTGTGTTTGTGCGCGTGTTTGTTTTTTTTTTTTGTTTTTTTGTGTCTGTCTGCTAATTTTGTCAGCATCCTCTGGAATTCAGGGGGCTATTATCCCAGATGGTTGGCAAACTGGACTAGCATATTTAATTCATTTGTCTAAGGAATGCCTCAGAAAGAGAAGTCATCTCATTAATGTTTAACCCATAGAAGTTGAGAAGTTATCACTGTCATTTTTTAATACTATTCAAATGTAATTACACAAATACATGATTATAGGGCGGGGTTGTGTGGAGAGAGGTTGAACAGTTGCTCCGCAGAACGGTGATAGCAAAACCACCCTCCCCTTAAAGCCAAAGCAGGACAGACGAGACGTACCCACAATGTAAATGTTTGAGTGAAGGGTGAGGGGGAGCGAGGGGGAAGCCAATGATGTGGCAGAAATTCTGGCGTGGCACCTGGGGTGGCCAGCCAGATTTCAGAAAGCCACTGGCCTGTGAGTTACAAGTGATTAATATGGAAAGGGAAATTTCCACCAATTTTTCAAAATTTCTGCATAATTAAATTGTTAAGATGTAAACAAAGTCATGCAGATTCAGGTTTGGTGTGAAATGCCTCATTCTAGAGAAATTTACCTAGTCAGAATCGTTCACAAGGGTGGTAATAGGAACCAGACATCTGAAGCATTTACTGCTTCTAAAAGCTACCTCGCGTTTATGCCACACTTCTGTTATTGCAGGTGATTACTGTGGCTTCTAAGGGTTAAACATAACATATCTTTCAACCAATGGCCTTTTTCAAGCTTGTGAAAGACTATATTGACCTCTTAAACTCCTATGTTAACCCCAGTCCGTGAGTTCATACATGCCTTATTCAGTACTTACTCAATGATTAATGAAGTTTCTGAGTAATAAGCCTAGAATTTAAGGGATTACGCTTTCGAGGGAAGACACCGAGATCAGATGAAGATTTCATACATGATAAAACTAATAGTCAATGAATCATGATTAGCTCCAGCGCACAGGAAATCTGTCTGCGCTGGCCTGCAGTCACAAGTTGCAGTAGTGTGTGGGAACGCTTCAGGTAACTCAGACGCTATGATCTTTACGGTTCCAGCACCCACACACACTCTTTAGTTTAAAAGAGTGGGATTTCCCTGCAGAGAGCAGCCGATTTCTCCACCAGACTAAGGTACATACAGACGCACGCTCTGTTACAACAGGGCGTACTGACATATCCTGTTGCTCTACTGTATATGCATCAGAAAGAACTGAAAATAATGACTCTGAAATGCATTCATCTGCAAACTACGGATTACAGTTCACATTGCACCAATAGTTGCTGCCTAAATTTGCCTTAAGAAAAAGCAAGGAAAATGCTTATTTGATTCAGCACAATATCACCACAGTCCAAACCAACTCAGAGTGATAATTCTCCCTTTTACTGAAATGAACTGAATGTGTATGCAGGTGCTCCAAGATATTACCTTCACTGGAGGATCCTGACAGATCGATGATGACGTAGACCTTGCCCTCAGGCTCCAGGTCAATCTGAGGAGAGAACACACATGGGATCAGAGATTAGAAGACCTGTACACTGGCACAATCACTTCAGCTGATGAACTGGGAGAGATTAGACCATCACAGCCCTGAAAACATCACTATCTACTTTCTAATACTCTACTGCTCACCAGCTATCAGCTATATTCACTCTATTTAAACAAATATACTCATCCAATTTGTACAAATTCATCAAGAGAATTTCATGTTCAAGATAAATTTTATCAAGGGGTCTGAATATCAGATGTTGACTTCAGGTCTGGGCCTTCTATCTACACAAACTCATCATCATCATCATCATCATCATCATCATCATACTCCATATTTCTCTCCAAAGGAAAATCAAGCAAAATTAAGTGTACCTGTTTGTTCCTATGTTTACACTAGGAAATGCGATGGGATGTAGTATACTGTAAGCATTTGGACAAACCAATTTTGTTTTTGGGTGAACAAAATATTTTGGGTGAAGATTTTTAAGGTTAAAATTTGTAGGAATGCTTCTCAGGAATGATTCAAATATGTGAAGGACTGTGCTGTAATTTGTCATTTTGCTCACCCCAAAAGACTAGTGTTCTTTTATAGGGCTCCCGAGCAGTACAATCGTTGGAGATTGGCAGTTCGATCCCTGATGATGCCACAGCCATCTGTGGCCAGGAGTCCAAGAGAGCAAATTGGCTTCACTCTTTGGGTTTGTAGAATAGGCAGCGCAATGCCAGCCCATGTGGCATACTGGCAATGGGGAGAATTGGGGAGAAAATTGGGTAATAATTTAAAATACAACAAAAAAAAAGATGATACTAGGAGGAGTGTACGATCAAAATAGACTGATTTTTGCTCAAAACAAGTGATTGTCAATCAGGCAATTTATTACTTTGATTTTGGCTAATCTGTGCTGTAATTTTATGACATTAATAACATGAATCAGGTGCCTAGCCTTCACTACAGGAGGTCGATTTGCTTCTCCCAACAATCACAAAAGGTCTCCCAGTATCAGGGTGATTTTAAATGATGGTCTTCCCAGATTGTCCTGTGGTGTAGGGCATCTATAATCCAATCTTTACTCCTCTGACCTACTCCCAGTCGGGGCTGCTCCAATTGTGAATCGTAAATATTAAACATGTTCAATATTTACGACTCAGTATCCTGTAGTGTGGGGTGGACACCAATTCAATAGTGTGAAACGCGATGTTGATGTCATGCCTGAAAGACCGTCAACCAAAGAGAGGCTTTGAGGATATAAACCACCAGGACTCTTGTTTGTGTGCTTAATCTGAAAATGTGTGGTGTTTCATTTAAGGCAGATTATGCATTGCGGGGAATCTGATGACTAACAACAATGAAGGACAGAAAATCGGTGAAAAATGTGTGGGATCTCTCATGTTTTCAACATTGTTAGGATTTTTCAAATCCTGTAGTTTGGGCCAAGCAAAAGTGCACTTGTGCTGTATTTAAATGCTGCTGCTACATCTATACCAAAATGTTTTAGCATAATTATACATGACTCATTGTGCTAAACAGCCAGTTGCCTCTGACTTTCAATGTAGCACTTTATTTAATTTCATGTTATTTAAAGACAACAGGTTTTTTGTTAAAGAAATTAAAATGCCAGTTTGGCCTGTTAAACTTTGCAACTTTGTGTGTTTAATGTGTTCATTTGGCCTACAGGGCATGAGCTTTGGTAATTAAAAAAAGGCAATGAAAATAAATAAAAAAATTAATAAAAATAAATTAAAAATGGCTTGTAAGCCAATTTCGCCCATAAAAATACAGTGTTCCTCTAGATACTACTCTACAAAAATCCAGGCACTCAGTACATACACTGTACTTTATGTACAACAAAACTCCAGGCACTTATTCAATTTTCATCGGGAGCATTTTAAGTTCAAAGTGTACAGTGAAAGAATTTAGTCCATGGTGCCTGAATTGAAACAAGGGTCAGTCTCAGAGGACAGAACAAACCGCAGAAAGTGAGTATGGAGAATGCTCCTGTTTTATAATTCCACCTCAAATCATTTGGCCTGCCTGAGCGGCCCACACAGACCCCCACGCGGGCCATCAGCGCAGCACGGGGGAGCCAGGCCCCGAGAGGCAGCAGCTTCACACTGTCAGAAACCCACTGCTTAATCTCATTATCCAGAGAGAGAGAGTCAGAGATAGAGAGTGAGTAAGAGAGAGAGAAAGAGAGATAGAGAGAGAGAGAGAGCGAAGAGGGGGGATGGAGAGAATGAATGCAGCAGTGTGTCCAATGGCTAGGGGAGGGCGGGGGTGTCAGGAAGACATCTGAATTAGGACACATCAAACCTTCAATTTAAAACAGCTCATGCTCTGTGCAGCAGCCACTGGAGAAGAAGATAAACCCTGAAATTGCTGGATGCTGTTCCTGCTGCTCTGATCACGCACATTTGCTGTTGCGCAGGATGAGTTTGGGCTGCAAATAAGAGCACATTCAGGCTCTCCTGATAACTAACATATACAGCACTCATGAAAACCACAGTTCTCCTGCTGGTGAACACAGTGACTTCTTAGTAGACTGATAAACACACACACACACATATAGCAACGGGGCAGCATAGTGGCTAATACATTGGGCTGGCCTCAACTATCTGAATACTGAAATACTTTGTTCATTACAGTACTTCTCTCCAGTATTTGGAAGCTTTGCATTTTTTTGTAGCCTAAACTACAACATATTTCATCATCAAAGACCTTTAAATAGAACTATTTTTGTTAATATATATAAGATGTAAAAATAAATAACTGTTTTTTATGTGGTCATTGCAGCTAAACAAGCAAAGATGCCCAAGAAATAACATGTGGGACCACGAACGGTATACAGAAGATAAAAAAGTGCTCAGTTGCATCCTTCTGAATTTATTCTGGACGGTAGTAATGAACATGCTTAAAATTAAGGAGTTATGAATGTAACTATTATTTTTAAGGGTGTTTCTGCCAGTAAAACAACGTCAGCAAACACTAGTAAAATGCTGTTTTGCCAGCCCTACTAATATAATTGCCTTGCATACATAAACTCAAAGGTTCAATTCACCATTCAGCAGAATAAGAGAGGTTAGGCGAAACTCTTAAAGTTACAATCGCCTACCATTGTAAATCACTATGGATAATACAGGCTGCTAAATACATGTAATGAAGCCTATACAGGAATATACAGGAATAGAAGCCTACACAAATAAAATTTCCTGTCATGATATCATGAACAAAATTACTGCAATATTATATTAAAATTGTATTTAAATATTTTTAATAATATTACAATAAACTTGAAATGTTTAAAAGGCAACAACACACACTGACATCATTTCACCACATGTATTATAGAGTCTGTTGAACCTCAAATACAAGCACAATTTAAATACATATGAAATGATTACCAGCACTCCTACTGTTCACTGTTCTGTGCTGTACAGGGAGACTGTAGCAGTCTGCTACTTACTTCCACTGAGACTTTTTAAAAGGAGGCTAATCATACATTATTGATCATTATTGATCATTAATTAGTTTTAATATCAAGGTAAATCATTAGTTACTGTCTCATCTCTAAATGTACATTCAACATTAAAAAACATGCATTAGAGCACATGTCCATTCTTGCCCTTGAAACTTGACATATAACAGAGATCATCTTTGAGGGACAAATGAGGGCACTGGTCAAGTCAGTTGCAAATGTATTAGAATTTGGACAGTGAAAAAGTTCACAAATCTTTCAATGATAAGTACAAAAAACGTTCTGCACTGCTTCTCTGGGAGGAAAAAATATGTTGTAGGAAAAGTCAGAGTGGACTGAAATGAAAAACAGCAGATTGCGCGTGAGCAGCTGATGATGTCATCTGGAGCGCGGACAGGGTGATGACACGTCTGTTATCCTCCACGCGGCCCCCTCCCCCCACCCCCTCTCTTCCTGTGATGTCATCAGATTCCATTCAACTGCTGTCTCTTCAAGCACGGTCGTTTCGGAGGTGCAACGGCCACTAAATATAGCCGAGGAAGGAAAAGCCTCGGTGTGTGACTGTGTTCGTGTCTGTGTGTGTGTGTATGTGTGTGTGTGTGCGCGTGTGTGTGTGGGTGCATGTGTGTACGTGCTAACCCGCCTGCAATGTGCAATTTTCTCTGATGATACTGTCTGTATAAAAGGAGGTAAATACTTTTGCAGCTAAACAATGTTGGCAAGACACAGTTGAGATTCTCAAGCTGCGTGCGTGTATGTGCTTAAGTACATACTGTAAGTGCGTGTCCCTTTTGTCCAGGTATGAGGCCAAAATTGTTCCCAAAGTCACTCTCATCACAAAGCCCTGACAGACTGCAGACAGCAGTCAAAGCACCACTCCACACACACACACACACACACACTGCACGGGCAGCAGTGTCATGCTCCAGCAATGGCCTCAATCCACTTCACACAGAGGTCTAACCCACAGAGTGCTCACAGACATGCCAACACAACACTCCAACCACTCACCCTGAACACACACACACACACACACACACACACATGCATAAAAAAACACTAGAGCCACCAGAACTCTGTCTTCCATTACTGTAAGGAACAAAGCCTGTGGCAGAGAACCGGCCTCTCTCAGATAGGTCAAGATGTGATTAGAGATGGCACAATCCCATTTTTACTTTTCCAATATTTATACCACTATCAATAAATATTGTTATTTTTATCACTTAAAACTACGGGGTGGGAATCTCTAGGCACCCCACAATTCGATTCGATTACGATTCAGAGGGCTACGACGCGATTATAAAACGATTATCGATGGATCATCTCAATGCATTTTTTTTTTTCTACATAGCATTTATATTTTCTCAAGTTTCGAGTTCAAGTTTCAAGTTTATTTGTCACTTGCACAACATGTCAGGACATTTATGCATTAAAATGCTTGTGGTGAGGCTCAGCTAATCACTCTACAGAAAGTAAATAAGTAAAAATAAAAAAAATACAAGAAAAACCAACTGAAATATATTAAATA